TTTTGGCGGTACCAGGGATTGAACTCAGGACCTTGTGCTTGCCAGGCAAGTGCTTATTCTACTGAGCTATCTCCCCAGCCCACATATATCTTAAAAGGAAAAAAAAACAAAACCTTTAATGCCAAGCCAACTTCTTTATTTTCATCTGTATATGGAGGCTTCCAAAGTTGAATCTTGTCTTCCCTTAAAAACTGGGTCAGTTTTGCTTGAAGATATTTCCTTTGTGCCATCCTTGAAAACAAAACTGTGTATCAGTAAAGCCCCCAATGACATCGTAAGCCATTTTATAACTTACCTCACAGAAGGAATCACAGCAATCAGAGATCCCTTCTACCCGGTTAAATTACTAGTTTCAATTAGCTTTAGCTTTTTCTAAAAATATACACTTAAGTAATATATAATATGTTCACTGATTTACATTCTGTCAATATAAAATACTTCACAGGATGGGGAGATGGCTCAGTAGAATAAGCGTTTGCCCGGCAAGTGCAAGATCCTGAGTTCAATCCCTGGTACCGCAAATAAATAAAATTAAAAAAAAAAAAAATTCACAGTCTCAGCAATGGCAGACCTAGAGAGATCCAGCCATGCCCGAGACATCAGATCGCATGTGAAGCGTCTTTTTGGCAGCTTCTCCACACTCCCAAGCCCTCCAGTAAAGCGATTTGGTCTCCCCCCGAAAAAAAATTCAAAGTTGCTATACATAGCAAGAAAAATTACACTCTTCTATTTCTTACCCTATTAATTTGGTTGGGGGTGATTGGTTGTTTTTTGAGACAGGGTCTCACTGTGTAGTCCTGGCTGGCCTTCAACTCTCAACAATCCTGCCTCAGCCTCCCAAGTGCGTGATTATCATGTGCACCACACACCCCAACCCTACTATTTTGTAATTTAAGGGGAACAATGAATCCTTACAAAAGTGAATCTCTTTAAGCAACTCAACATAGAGCTTGTACATTTCTCCTATAGTTCAGTTAATTTAACACAAAAAAAAGCAAACTACTTTAATCAAATATAAAGAAAACTTGAACTGTAAATTGGCAATAGAAATATTCTTTATAGCAGAATGTATTAAAAAGCTAGAAAAGTTTAAGGGCCAGTGAGACAGCTCAGAGGACTAAGTGACTGCTTTAGGCAAGCGCAGAGACTAGGGTTTGATCCCTGGCACCACATGCAGCGCTAGCCTGTACTCCTATCCCTGGGGAAGCGGAGAACAGGAGGACCACTGCAAGTCCAAGCTTTGTAATAAGACCCTTGTATCAAACACATTAAAAAAAAAAAAAAAAAAAAAAAAAAAGCTCTTTCCAGCCAGTGCTGAGCAATGGGCATCTCTCGAGACAACTGGCACAAGCGCCGCAAGACCGGGGGCAAAAGAAAGCCTTATCACAAGAAGTGGAAGTATGAGTTGGGGCACCCTGCTGCCAACACCAAGATTGGCGCCTGCTGCATACACACAGTCCAAGTTCAGTGAGGCAAAAAGAAGTACCGAGCCCTGTGGCTAGATGTGGGAAACTTTCTGGGGCTCTGAGTGTTGTTCTCAAAAAACAAGGATGGGGCTGGTGAGATGGCTCAGTGGTCTAAAGCACCTACTCAGAACAAGCTTAGCAAAGCACGGGACCGCGGTTCAATCCCCCAGCACCACATGCCAGCCAGCCCGCCCCCTGGTGGGCTGAGCTGGCCACACACACACACACACACACAAATAAATAAATAAAATTAAAAAAAAAAGTTTGAATGAGAACACAGCAGCCCATCTATCTACACTGATCCAGCTCTGACTGGCTGCCACTTTACATCTGGGAAAAGCCAGCCCTAAATTTGTAAAAAGATATGGCAGAGGTCAGAAAATTAGGACATGCGCCATAACTTGCATTTTTTTTTTATTTTATTTTTTTTTTGGCAGAACCGGGGATTGAATGTGCCATAACTCGAAGCTCAGCCTTCGTACTGTGGCGCTGCGCTCCACACTGTGTCGCCCCCATCCTGGCCACTCTCTCCCCCAGAGCCACAGGGGAGCTGCCCAAAAGAGTCCTGCACTAGCAGTCATTCAGAGGGGTGTGAGGCTGCTAGGAGACAGGTGGCAGGCACAGGGCGCTGCTTTACGATCTGCCAAATCACACAAATAGCAAGAAAAGCAAAATGTTGATAACCTGCGCATGATCATGGTCACAAGTCCTAGAGCAAACATACCAACTGATAGCATCCAGATAAGGAACGTTGTTCCTGTTCTTACCCACCTGAACCCAATTCGCCTGCTCTTTAAAGCTAGTGCCTTTATTATAGACAGCTAAGCTGGGTAGAACTATAGCAAGTAGTCAGACAAGGCTGGCCACTGCAGGGAGCCAGTGCACAAGCTGAAAACACATCAAAACTGTGGCTACAGACGCCTCGGAGAAGTATCAAAGCCATAGGCTAGATTCACAGGCTTCCCTGGGGGATAAAAGGGAGTTAGAGCTTAACTGTATCACCCTTTTGAGATTTCCCATTATCTCATTCGGGTCAGTCACTAACACTACAGATTATCAATCATGACTAACGATGTCACTCACATGCCCTTGCTACCAATGGATCAATATTGCCTAGGTGCTTACACTTGCAATCTTACTGGTTAATCATAATTTTGACCTACCTTGTACCTGCCTCAAAATTTTGCTCTATAAAGCTTTCTTTGAGAAATAAGCTCAAAAAAAAAAAAAAAAAAATAGAGAAGTAGGCTCACTGGCAGCCCATTCAGGGCCCCTCCTGTCTCTTTGGAGCTATTCCTACTCCACATTCCTTTCTTCCGATAAAATCTCCTACTATTAAACTCTGTGGTTCCCTAGAATTCGGTTCTTCAACTTCAAGGAACATGAACTTGGCATATCTGATATCCAGCATTTAGCCTATATCAGCTTCAGTAACCAGGCGTGGTGGCGTCACCACCTGTAACCCCAGGACGCAGGAGGCTGAGGCAGGAGGCTTGCTGTGAGTTCGAGACCAGCCCGGGCTACAAAGTGAGCTCAAGACCAACCTGAACAACATCGTGCGACCCTGTCTCAAAGAGAAAAAAAAAAAAAAAAAAAATGAAATAAAGTTGCAAACTATTTTATGAGAGTTTGTCGGAGAGATAAATCAGAACATGGAGGAGAAAAGGGAAGAAGGAATAAACACAACCAGGGAGGGTGCTGAGCACATTCTGGGTGCGCCAAGAAAAAACTCTTAACAGCACTAACAAAGCTGTTTTTCACGGCAAAGCAGACCAGAACTTTATGAACATCGGTTTCTCAAACACAAGTAACTTTACACCACTTTACGTACAACTCATCAACCTTCGGAAGTCGAGTGAGAAATCGCAGGACGTCACAAGCCCAGCCTGCGCTGCACACTCCCAGGGTGCAAAAGAGCAGCCACGGGGTCCACGCCAGGTGCAAGACATGCTTAATAACCCAACTCCTTAACCGGGCGTGGCGGCACGCACCCGTGACTCCCGCACTCGGGAGACCGCGGCGGCGAGGACCCAGGCCAGCCTGGGCTACACGGCGCAGGGCGCTCCAGGCTGGCCTGAACCGTGGAGTGACGCGCTCTCAAAAAAGTGACTGCCCTGCAACCAACAAAACTTCAATTATCGACAAGAGAACATGGCATACAGCGCGTTAATCAAGTTCTCATAAAGTTTAACAAATCCAGCTTTCGGTTTTCACCGGAAAGCTAACTTTCGCCCAAACGCGGTTTCACTTTCGTAATTAACGAACCAACCTACTTCGAACCGGAGCGCCGCCCGACACACGCAGACACACCCCGGCACCCCAATACGTTACGCTGTCACTGGAAGCGCAGCGCGAGGGCCGTGCGGGAAGACGCGCGCCGGAGGGGAGGCTCCGGCGCAGACCAGCTGTTTTCCGCGCAGCCTTCCGGTTCCCACTGCGGAGGCGTCGCCCTCGGACGAGCTAACTGACGCCCCACCGCGGGGCGCTGCCGGTCTCGCCGCCCGGGCGAGCCCGCGGGCCGCCACAACTCCCCAGCCGCCGCCCCGCCCGGAGGAGGCGACTGGAGGAGCCCGGACCTGCGACCTGGGTCGTCGCGTCGCCGCCCCTCACCTGCGCAACCGCCCCGGCCGCCTCTGCGTCCGCGGCGACCGGCTGAGTGCCCGGATGCGGCCGGGCCGCCGTTTGTTTTCATTCCGGGTGAACCGGCCCCGCCCCCGCGCCCGCCTAGCGGTGCAGCCCAGAGGAGGCCTGGGGGCGGGGCTTCAGGTCGGGCTAGGGGCGGGGCCAGAGGCCAGGCGGGGGCAGGTCGGGTGGTGGGCGGGGCTAGCGCGGGCGCGGGCGGGGCGCCGCAAAGACCCGTAGGGACTAGGTAAAGAATGCAAACGTCTGAGGCAGGGTCAAGGACCAGGGCGGGGCGGTCTGTGGGCGGGGTTATCTACTAGGGGCGGAGCTAAAGTGAAGTGGGAGGATTTAATTAGGCGGGGAGAAATTAGGGAGGATTAAAATGGGGCGATTTATGGGATGATAGTCCAAGCCAGGAAAGGTTTCTAGAGTCATTATAAGGTCTTTGTTCAATAAGTACTCAGACAAGGGTCTGCTCTCTAGAATCTATAAAGAACTAAAAAACACCAGGGCCCCAAAATTTAAAGACCCAATCCAGAAATGGGCATC